GTTTTATTTATATTGCACCAAATCACAACATGAGTTGCTTCAAGGCACTTTATATTGTCATGTAATAATCCTACAATAATACAGAGAAACCAAATCACCTCAGCAGTCAAATACAACTCGAACACAACTTAAAAAATAAAAGATTGCTCTATGATGATCTCACTATTGGTTAACAGGCTTTGCTACTGATAAGACCAAGATCCATTTGACTCCAGCTGGTGAACCCAACCCCTGCCTACCCATCAGATAACTTCTGCTGCCCATCTCCCACATTAATGTCATAATTAATTATACCTTAATTATAATTACAACTTAACACACTGCTAATGTGGTTGTCAGATAAAAGTACCTTTCTCTGTGTCCTTACTTCAGTTCAATTCAAAGCCGGCTAACATCCTCAAAAAAGTGTTTTTTAGGGCTTCACATGTCAACTACTTCAGCTGCTGAAGGGAAGATCTGTGTGCTTGCCTATTTACAAGCAAAGAGTGAATAAAATGTTATAGTGGCTTCTAGAAAGCCGAAATGCTTCAATTGCCCCCTGGTGCCTAGCTGCATCCCATCCAGTGGGGGTCAAACTATCCATCCTATTCTGCTTATTAATTCAGGGTCGCTGAAGGGCTCGAGCCTATTGCAGCTGCCATAGGGCGAGAGGCAAAGTGCACTCTGGAGAGGTCGCTAGTCTGTCGCAGGACTAACACTGTCTGTGCATGTCTTTGGACTGTGGGAGGAAGCCGGAGTACCCAAAAAAGAACCTATGCAAAGTTTAAGTAGTTCTTCACATACTGTTCTGGGTCCACTATGGGATGCGGTTCCCTGCATATTCCTCATAATCATGTATCTCATTCTGCCAGTTCTGATTGGCTGGTGATTGCAATGAACATGTCGGACCAAGCCACCCACTCTTAAATATAAATATTGCATAGTCTTTATTCAAGATAATCCCCTCCTCTTGCTTCATCCCAGCAAGAAGGGCCGTCTGGTGAGACATCTCACTCATGCTACTCTGAGAACCGGGGTTACAAAGTAACCTAAGGTTCTCATTCCTAGCATTTCTCATTATGGAAAAATGGAGGCTCCCGTATTGTTAGACAAGCTTATCTCAAGCAGTCATAGAAATAGCCAGTATCTCACCTATCCAAGTGCGGACCCAGAGCCCAGCACTGCTTGGGCTCTGGGTCCGCACTTGGATAGGTGAGGACTCTGCTTGAAGCTGAGACATCCAGCCTGTAAAACCGGACAAAGGTGAGAGGTGAAGACCAGCTTGCTGCTGCACAGATACCTGGATTCACATTCCTCTGAAAAGGGCCCAGGACACTGCCAGACCATGAGTGGAGTAAGCCTGCAGGCATTCTGGTCCCTGCTGCTGCAGGCTAGTATACCAAAGAGCAATCACCTCCACAATCCAAAGTCAGAGCCATTGCTTATGGCTCTTACGAGGGCCTGCCTTGTAAGGCCTAAAAAGCTGGTAATTACTCTGAAAGTCCTTAGTACAATCCAAATAAAGTCTTGCAGATAAGATCGCCTTACTGGAGGGTAACTGGTATGACAGCTGATCTATGGTTAAAATTTGGGTTCAGGAGAGATGAGCAAACCGTAGCTAGTAGTGACGGGAATTAGCTAACACTCCTGTCTGTGGACAATTAAGCAAGCTAGCACATCCAGCAGATGCCAGTCGTAACTTTTTGTAAGAATTCCCTGTAACAAGATCAACACTGGGAGTAATTTTATATATATTACTGTGATGATTCACACATACATAAGACTAATTGAAACCATCAACCAAGAAAGAACTCTCTTCCAGAGAGTGCAAACCTCTGTAAAGGCAGCTCTCACTCTGGGCAGTATTTAACTCTAAGAAAATTGTGTTGTGTATGTAGTCATTTTTTCCTTTCTTTAAAAAAACATACTTTAAGAAGTTTGTAAAGCAGTAAAACTCAGACAAAACTCAGACAGAAGGTTTCTTTGATTACACAAACATTATGCAGCAGTAGGTAATGCATAATAGGTACTGACTTGTGAATAATGACATTAGAACCTTATTATAAAATATTATACTAACTAGGCAGCTCATTATCCTTGTCTTGATAATACCTTCTTTGAAGATATTATGCATTTTGGGGTCACCTTGAAAGAAAGGCAGATGCAACATCAGAGCTCAAACGTGACATGATATTTGGATGCATCTGTTATTTAGAATCTCCATATACCAGTATCATTTCCTAGTAGTTGGCAGTACAAACCAAAGAACGTAGTTTTTGGTTTGTATTGGCAAACCAAGCTGAAAAAGACAGCTTTATTTGACAAACAGACAGTTAGGGTAGTTAGGGTAAGAGGCTGAGGATCACAACAGGAATATAGGAAATAGAGTAAGTTATTTTTAATCAGGGGCCCTGTGGGGGTGCTTAGCCTAAGGAAATCACGATATCATATTTTCCACTTCTACTAGAGTGCATAACAGAAGGGAATGGACCCCCTCCCCACTGAGACTAATGGAACGTAAAGTGGACCTAAACCATAAATTCTGATTCAGTCAAGGGACACCAGTAACCTATGAAATGCAAACTGTTCCTATGAATGTCTGTGATGCAGAGGATCTTGAGGGTCTTAACAACAGCAAGTGATAAAGTACAGATAGTTTGATTAAAGAAATTTCTTGCATTTGCACAATGTCTCTAAAATTAGAAACAAGTGATGCTGAAAAACTAGTTCATGCATTTATTACTTCCAGGCTGGACGACTGTGATTCATTATTATCAGGATGTCCTAAAAACTCCCTGAAAAGCCTTCAGTTAACCCAAAATGCTGCAGCAAGAGTCCTGACAGGGACTAGAAAGAGAGAGCAGGTTTCTCCTGTATTGGCTTCCCTTCATTGGCTTCCTGTTAAATCCAGAATTCAAAATCCTGCTCTGAGGCTGCTGGGGACTTCCCATAATGTGTTTCTTCTTCACTCACCTTTTCTTTCACTCATTATGTGTTTATACACCTCTCCGTATTTAATCATTATTCATCATTAACTTCTGGCTCTCCTCCACAGTGCGCCTATTTGTCTTCCTTCCCTCACCCCCAACTGGATGTAGCAGATGGCCCCGCCCCTCCCTGAGCCTGGTTCTGGCCGAGGTTTCTTCCTGGTAAAAGGGAGTTTTTCCTTCCCATGTCACTAAGTGTGGTCTCTTGATTGTTGTATTATTGTAGGGTCTTTATCTTACAATAAAAAGTGCCTGCTGTTCTGATGCTATATAAATAAAATTGAACTGAATTAATTTTAATTGAACTGAATTGAATTGGCTAAAATACAGGTCACTATGGAATTACTCTGTAAAGCCAGAGTAGCAATACTTGCCCTGCAGCAGCATCCCTTCATTTAAACAAACTGCACTGTCTGTGGTGGATTATATCTTTTTTATAACAATACTTCTTTGCAAGAAACCTTATGCCATCGGAAAGCCTGTTAATATCCCTGTAAATGAAGCTGCATTTGTAAGGACAAAGCATTTGTGTGTTAAAGAGAAGAATTGAGTATTTGGGCTGTGCCCATAAAAAGCTTTCCAACTCTTCTCTGTCAACACCAATCAGCTCATTCTGCTGTTGACCCTTGTTTGGTCTTGTTCAGTAGATTGGAGGATTGAAGAAAGAAGATTATAAATTGCATTTCATTCAAAAAATGGTCAAACTAACAAAATATCACATTTGACCTCTGACCTCTCCTTCAATATCACTAGACTGCTCTGATGGGCAAAGTGATAAAAATGCTATTTAAAACAATATTTCTTACTGCCATTGTTTGTACTAACACTGATTTTATATAAACTTAGAGAAAATAAGTTCCAGAAAAGTAACATGACAAAACCTTTTGTAGAAATGGTCACACGTTCTGATGATAAATTAGCAGGACTTAGTTCTTACTTCTAGAAGCAGTAAGTATGTACTGGTTTTCACAGTCCTGTGAAAAACACAATTTTCACATGTCTGTAATTAAAACGTATTAGTTTATATCTTAAAAATCAAATAATAAATTATAGCTTTGTAGAATAAGTCTAATCGGGAGGTCGGTGGTTTGAGCCCCAGATGCTCTGATCTGTATGCCTAAGTATCCTTGGGCAATAATGTGTTCACTGGAGTTTGAATGTGTGTGAATGTTAGATAGAGAGTGCTTAGGTGTTGAAAAAAGTGCTAGTGTGAATGGTTATGTTATATAAAACAGTCTGAGTGCTCAGGTAGAGTAAAAAAGCACTAAGAACCAAGATGTGACTGCATTTGGTAACCAGAGTGAAACATAAGAGTGAAACTTCTGGTTGAGGGCTAATATCAAATTAAGGAATAATTTATTTTCACGAGGACCACCATCACACTGAGCAGAAGGAGTCAAATGAGCTCATTTCAACATAATATTTTGAGGTTTGTGAAAAAAATTGGAATGGGTGACTATTGGATCAAGATGTTTTATGAAGGTATGAAAAACTACTATATAACCGGCTCCCAGTGATATTGCACTTCAGTTCTCAGATCCAGTGCTTACAGCCATCTTTTACAAACAATGCTTGATAACTCAGCACTAAATCTGTTAAGTTCAACCAACAAAACTACAATGACACTAAACATCCTTTTGAAAAGTTGTGTTTGATAGAATGTTTCCAATTCCATCTTTTCACTGTATTAAAAAAAATCATATTTTCTCTTGTTTTGGACATTTTATATATTAATGCAAATGCAGACAGTTACTCCTCTACATAAGTTAATCAAATTAAATGTTGCAATTCTTATTTTTAAAAAAATAAATACTGAATACCCCTGATTTTACTATTGCTTGGAATATATTATATAATTCAATTCAATTCAATTCAATTTTATTTATATAGCGCCAAATCACAACAAAAGTCGCCTCAAGGCGCTTCATAGATACAGAGAAAAATATAGACCACAACAAATCCTTTATTTCAAACCAACAGCTGTATTTAATTTGCTCACATCAGTACTTTGTGTAAATTGTGTCAGAAACTCACACTCTTTGGACATTCCAACTGCAAAGCACTTCTGTAGGCGGCAATACTGACAACGGTTCCGCGTCACCTTGTTGATAATGCAGTTCTTGTCCCGGTGACACGTGTACACCATGTTTTTCTGGATGCTTCGGCGGAAAAAACCCTGCAGAGACAGATACATATAGGAAGGCAGGGGAGGGTGGGGATGCATTATAAAAGCAGCGTCTCACATAGTTATCCTCACTTCACTTCTAATCTTCTGCAACTGCATTTTTGCTAAAACATCCACACAGCTCCACTGAAATCCTCTGGTCACTGGATATCATAACGTCACAACAGTGTGTATAACAATGTGCTGGATGTTTTGTTTTTTTATTGCCATTAATACTGAGCGAAAAGAGAGTGTGTCCCAGCTGGGAGCTTCAAATGCTGCTTTGAGCTGGGAAATTGAGTACAAGCAGGAACAGACACTAAAGAATTTAATGGTATCAAAAAGTGAGGCTGCTCGTACAGTATGAAAGACTTAACCAACAACTTGCTATATCTGTACTTAAAGTAACATTAAATTTCTGCAGAAGACCAAATGAGTGTTCTAATAATAAATTACTAGAGGATTTCAAATGAACTCAATTTGTGAGTCTGTCCAAAAAGTTTTAGGCAACAAAGTGCCTAAAAACCTTGGGTTAGTGGAAAGATGTGTGTTGGATGGAGAAGATCATTTCTATTTCAGAGACTCTGCTTTGGGATCTACAGGAGCTGGATTAAAAGGAAGATGATTTACTTGCATAAATGGCACTAACAATTCCAAGTGAGTTCCTTCATAAAAGCTGCTCTTAGAGCATCTTAAGTGAATAACAAAGAGACCTCCTAAACTGAATGAAGGGACAGAATGGACACTACTGCTCAAATGCTCAGTGAAATTACTGGTGTTGTGCTGTGTTTGAAATATAAGTTAACGAGCTAAAGGCCAAATTTGTTTTTAAGGAGCATTTTTGGTTTAAATTAAAAGTTTTCCCACAGAGTGGCTAACCACCATCTTCAGTGCTTTTGGACTGTTCTGACTTGCAGCTGAACAGACAGTCCTTCCCAGCTGGGTGCCATCAAAATAAGTTTGTGATAATATTATTCTACAGCATGCAGTTATTAACAAACATAATAAAATGAAACATTATTATCTTGCTGTTCTAAAAGTTCCTTGTAAAGCCTTTAGTTATTTACACTTCTGATAGCCATCAATAAGCTTTGGGCATAATTTTGTTTGATATTTGAAAACGATGCTTGGTAGAGTTTATATAAATTGGTTGGTTTCCTGGCACCGACCTGGCTGTTAAGCATAGTTCACAAATATTCAATAGGATTGAGGTCATGGCTTTTAGAAGGCAGTTCCAGAAGCTTCATGATTAGCCTGCTTTATTCATCCCAAACCAGTTTGATATGCGTTTGACATCACTGTCCTGTTGGCACACCCAGTTGTGTCCCAATCGTATAGATATTGATATGAGGTGAATTTAAAGAATCTAGAAGTACTCGTCCTTCTTCACTATTCCCTCAACTTTTTCCATTGTGCTTATACCACTAGCAGCAAAACAACCCCAAAGCACGATGCTTGACAGTGTTCATGGATTTCAAAGCCTCACCTTTGAAATCCATGAACACTTGCTGTAGCTCAGGTGGTAGAGCGGGTCATCTGCTGATCGGAAGGTTGGTGGTTCGATTCCTGGCTTCCCCTAGTCTGCATGCCAAATATCCTTGGGCAAGATACTAACTAAGTTGCTCTCAGATGCAGCCATTGGAGTATGAAAGTGTGTGTGAATGTTACTTAGAAAGCACTTAGAAAAATGTGATTGGGTGAATGTACAAGTTGTGTAAAGCCCTTTGAGTGCTCAGAAGAGTAGAAAAGCGCTATATAAGAACCAGTCCATTTACCTATATATCTCTTGTTAATATAATCAAATAGCTCAAGTCTTTGTCTTGGTTGACCATAAAACTCCATTCATTTGGCTTGTCCATGTGGTAGGGCTGTGCAATATGACCAAAATCTCATATCCCGATATAAGACATCTACCATCCCGATAACGATATAAATCACAAAATATTTAATATTTTCTGTAAATTCTGTGAATCTCGGGCAGGTGAAGTGTTTCCAGCTGGGCGTCGTGTATCTGGAGTCGAGTGTTTTAACTGATGCATGAAACTACACATTTTTAGACATAAGTTGTAACGGCCGCCGTTTTCTTTGTATTTATTACACGGCGTGCTGCGGGGAAAAGTTCTAACGTTTGAGTCTAAGGTTTATTTTTTAGCACCTGGCGGCTCTTTTTTTGCTTCTCATCCATAAATAATCTGCATCTTTCACGTGATTCAGTTTATTTTGAAAAGTCTCAACAGGATCTTGAGCTTTATTGTGAAAGGTTTATGTGGAAAATAAACAAGCGGACATGCGATGGT